GTGCAAAACGAGAGTGAATCTTCCACTAGAATTCGGAAAGATACACCGCCAAGATTTTTGTCTTTTGTGCATGTCGAGAGTAGTGCAGCAACGCCGTATATTTTAGATCCATTCTTGGGATTGCACCTTGGACGGCTCTGAAATCACAATTCCAAAATCCGAACCCATAACTTTGTCCACAGATGGCAGGGACGTCACAGAAGGATATAATCTCAGCAGAGTCTCATCAGAAGCATAGTGTTCCACTCGTGGCTGAGGGTGAAAGAGCATCAGATGTTGCCAATGGTAACTGGTCCATTGGACCACAAGATGACAAATTGGATTAGGGGCCTACCCAACCCACATCTTAGGAAAAACGCATGCCTGTTCTCCGCTGCTGATCTGCATAGATAAGCGGCGGATATCCTCTGCCCGTTTTTCTTATAGAAATGGGGTCCTGGCCGATCTTTGCCGCTGATCTGCGACGATCGGCGGCCAAGATTGGCCACTTTCTGTACTTGAAAAATCCGGGCCTACAGGACCCGGTTTCGAAATTGCGGGGCAGGGCCCGCCCCCATGAGGCCTTGGGAACACATATGCGCCGACAAAAAAAAAAATTCAGCCCCCAGCGAAAATGCGCTGGGGGCAACCGGGAGGGAACCGGCCCAGGCCACCAGCCGGTCCAACCGGAAGGACCGCGGATGGGGTAGGGGTCCCCGGTCCATCCGGGGACCAGCCCTGGTTAGAACTGGTTAAAGAGGAAGTTTATGATTTTATACGCAATCATAGACATCAGAAACTAGAAAAGAGAGGGTATAGGATATTGCAAATTCCAAGGGGAGGGACAAGCCTGCAGTTCTAGAACTTGAGGCGAACCAGACAGGCAAAGATCTGAGAGGAACAGGCGAGACGAGGCCCGACCAAGTGAACCTACAGTTTTTAGCATGGCTACGCCGGACCCGGACCCGGACATTTCCGGACATGGAACCGGACCCGTGTCCGGTAGTTTCCAGACGTCCGGAATTCCAGACATTTCCGGACCTCCGGACATGGGGGGATCCGGACGGTCCGGACGTCTGGAAATGTCCGGAAATGTCCGGACCATTAAAAAAAAAAAAAAAAAAAAAATCTGAAAAAAAAGTATGCTATGCAGAATAGCAATGCAAACCACTTTTGCCTCAGAGTCATGTCAGAATTCCTAACCAAACTTGAGTTACAAGTCAAAAACTATAAAAAAGCTTTAAAAAAGAGTTTAAAAGACTTTAAAAACTAATAAAAGGTAATGATTATAATGAATTATTAATAATTAAAAAATTGGGGTTGTCTAATAAATTATTATAGAGAGAGAGCATGCCCGGACCCCCCAAAAAAGCATAAACGGGCCTGAAAACCCCCCACTGGAGTCCGGACTGAATCCAGACCGTCTGGACGACAGTCCGGACGTCCGGATCGTAGCCATGGTTTTTAGCGTCCAAACGTAAGAAACCAGGCTAACTTAGGCAGGGGTGAGGGGTGGTACATCCTTCCGGCGAGAAGTAATCAATGCCGTCCCTCGGACTTCCCTACCGTAAAGAGGAAGAGCGTGTGTGAGTCTTTCATGCACTTCCTTTTGACTTGCCGGTGGAGTAGGAACCGGACTGATGCTCCCCAGAATGGAAAAGGAGTCAGAGCCTTAAGGTTCTGATTATAAAAAAAAAAAAATAAAAAAAAAATCAGAAGCCTTCAGTGGTTTATCACATACGCCGTGCTGCCAGTGAACCAATGGCTGCATACAAGACGTCACAAAAACGATCCCACCAGCTCGGACCTGTGCTCAGTTTGTGCAGAAGGGGTACAAGAAGACGTGGTACACTGTCTAATTCAATGTAACGAGGCGGCGGATTACTGGGCACGGGCCTCAGCCCTCTGGGACTCCCTTTTCGATGCCCCCTTCCCCGAACATCCCATCCAAATCCTTCTCTGGACTAACATTCCTGACCAGCTCAAGAAGACAGAAAGGTTATGGTTCGGCCTGATCAGGAAGGTGACATTATGGATCATTTGGAAAGAGAGATGCTGCAGAACCATCAAAGGGCTGTCCAACCCAAGAGAGAAGGTATGGGTGGAGACGAGAACTATGCTACAGGCTGAAATTCTCTGCAGATGGCAGAAGTTAAAGCAGTCGATGCCTGAAGACGAGGATCTGCGATAAAAGGCTAGGAAAAAGTTCACCAGGCTGTGGTTAGTGGACGGTAAGGTGGCTGAGCTACGGAACGACTGGATTTACTGGAAAGACTGGCACAATTCAGAGACAGGCAGGAGAGCCCAGACTGTGCCTGCAACAGACAGCCAGCTGAGTTGAAGGGAGTAAGGGACACCAGGCATCAGGAACGAGAGCGAAGAGGAGAGGTAAGGAGGATTAAGATTGGTGTTGGGAGGAAGGGACCTAGGTCTGTCACGGACGCTGCAAAACGGATCCAGGTCGGACAAGGGAGAGGACAACAAGAGCTGATACACTTGCTGACTCAGGACAGAGCAGATAGCCCCCTACATCAACGAGGGACAGGTTTACGCACCTTACAACAGGAAGAGAGAACGCAAAGAGTACCCTTGGTTCACAATCATCAGGTTGTCTCCAGAGGAGGCACAACAGAGAAGGGTTATCGCGATGAGGAATGAGGGAGGGTTTCGGGTTTTAGGGTCCTAATCATCGAGTAACGGCTCAGGGGCTTTAGGGTCTAAGGGTTTGGCCAGTTGAAACAGCTTAAGACAGCGGTCTTAGGCAGATTGTAACTGCTCAAGGTGGACGAAGCTAGGGCTGGACTGCACCAGAGGAAACAGGGTG